ATGTAGGCGACAGCATGAATTCTCCATCACTATTATTCTTATTCAATATTTTGAAAATTCTTTCTCCTGAAAATTTTCCATCTTTCGCCACTCATTTCATCGAAATTGTAAATCATCCTTACTGGAATTCTACTACAGAAAATGAGCTGTTATTCATTTCTAAATCATTACTGTGGATATTAAGACATAATGAAAGTTATGAATTTGCAATTTATAAGTATTTTTCTAAACGAAAAGGCTATGTAAAAAAATACAATATTTTTTTAATGTATCTGTGTCCAAACTATTGTGTGAATCTAAAGAATTTATTCTCACTCTATAAAGAGGAATTGCAGTTTAATGGTTGTAATGTTTTAATTGGATGTAATAGCCCTACTATCCCATCATGGAAGCCTATTTTTAATAACTCATTTTTCTCAAAATCCATTCTAAATTTTACCTATATGGATGCAGTAGACCATATTGCTCTAACACCTCTTAAAGGCGGTAATTCTAGAATCAAATCTCTTGTTGATGACAAACATTCTGGAGAAAAAACGAAAGAGTTTATTCTGTCAATTCTAACTCGTTACTATGGAAAAAGTGCTCCAGATGGAATAAAGATAGCTTACGACTTAATTTGTAGAACTCACAGAGAAATGGTTAAAGAGTTTGAGGCAAAATATTTTATAATATTTAAATAAAAGATACAAGATTAATTGATGTATATAGTTTGTTCTAGAAAACCTCCTATTGAAAAAATAAAACATATATACGATGCCCATACAAATTCAACCTATTCATTTTTTTGTGACCAATATAAAGTTTCTGTAACATAGATTAGTTATTTAACTTCATTTATTCCACAAATTTTTCAATAAATTCAAAATTATTTTTTTGATGATCACAATCGATATGCAATTCCATTTTGCTTATGATTGAGAGGAAGTATATATAAAAACAGAAATAATAAGATACTATTCTCAGATAAATACAATTCAATCTAAAATATTATTAAGGACTTTGTCTATTATGAGATTTAGTTTATTATAACTTGTAAAATGGCTTGAATATAATTTAGTATTGGTGAAGCCATTCAAATATCTACTACATGATATCTTCTATATCATCTAATTCATAAATACTACCAGTATTCTTACGACAAACACGAATACTAGAAGAGTTCTCCATTGAGATAACTAACTGTTTATATCTGTCGATATTTACAACTTGTCCTGTTGAATTGAAGTCATTTATGATTTTTTGCTTCAAACTAGAACATTTTAGTGGATTTACAGTTTCAAGCAGATTTATGGCCTCAAGACACTTTTTATCACAAATATTTCTGAGGAAGTTATCATTATCCATGAAAATAAGGGCTTGCTGATTTGATAAATTTAGAAGATTAATGGACCTAAAAGAACTTTTTCAACAAAGAAATCATTCTGCAAAAAAACTTGAGTGTTGAAATATAAAACCACATTTTCCAATCTATGAATTGCAATCATCAATGTGGTTAGTGATACTCAAAGATTAGTTAAAATGTATTTTTATATGGAAGAATTTTATTTGTTTTGAAAGAGATATTGAGGTTGTATTTCTATGATTGATTTTTCTTAAATTCTCTCATTTTCCAACCTCTTCAATTTTGACAAAGATGGTTCAAAAAAAATCAACAGTCAAAATTAATAATAATGGAATATTTTACATAGAAGAAGAGGACACCAGCCTTAGACCTTGGATTGGAGACAAATGTAGCATCTGTCTTGGAATGCCAAGCCGTGAACAAGTAATTCCATGTGGTCATGTTTTTTGTTCAAGTTGTTTAAATGAGTGGGTTTCACAAGGACTTTATAAGAACACATGTCCACTTTGTAGATTTCCTTTTGATGTTTTTGAAGTTCAAAGACACCAACCGTTAATTTCAAAATGTAATAGGCGGATTTTAACATCTTATTTCAGTATCAATAAGCATAAAAGACAATTTGGAACAATATTTCTTTATGAAGAGAAAATTAACCATGTGGATTTTAGTGCAACTTTGACTCTATCTTTATTTATTTGTATGGTTTTCATAATTATTGGCTATCTTTTGGGATAGAAAATATCTGGCCATTCTTATACATGAGTTATTGATTGTTAAATTTCTAGATAAATCATAAACAATCAATACTCTACTTCTTTAAGGTTCTTTGTTTCTCAGGGTTTTCTACTATTTTATCCCCCAAAAAGACTCCCTTTTCTCGTTTTATGGCATCAATAAATATATCCATAGGCTGATCAGAAAAATACTCTGACTCCTCAACTTCTAGATATGCAGTTCCCTTACTATGCACTCGGATGTCCTCTACGAGGTTTTTAAATAGAAATTGCGGGATTTTACAAAGTATTATAAAAAATTCTGATTCCTCATCATAAACCTCTTTTTCCATTTTGTAGAAATATTTCTGCAAAACCATATAAATTGAACCCAAGTATTCCTGTTGCAAAGAAATTTTAGTTTGGTAAAATAGTGTGCAGATGCTAGGATTAGTTTTTAAAAATATAGCTTCTATTTGATTTTTTAGCATACTGAATATTTTAGGGTCTGAGGATCCACTGAACCTAACTGTAAAGTGAGTGTCCATAATTGGTTCCTTAATTAGGGGACCTGATTCACAAAACATCTCTAAAACACTCTCAACCATTTCTCGATTATCTTCGCTATATATTTCAAATACATTATTGTACTTCTGAGATTTTTTTAAATTTTTGTTAGTACAGTCCCATTCGAATTCATGAGTAGAATCAATAAGATTTTTCTGAATTACAATGTGTAACTCCATATTCTCAGTATTATACTCTCCACTTGCCATAGATGCGGCAAATTCTCTAAATTTTTTTGTTGAATCTTTAATTTCAAAATCAAATCCAATATCAGAAAGATCGGAGCATATCTTTTCAAACTGTACCTGACCACTGCATCCAATCTCAAATTCTCCATATCTGTTTTTTCTTACTTTCAAGGATGGTTCTGTGAACGACATTGTTCTAAAGACTTCCTTAAAGGATTCAATTATGTCATTTTGCAGGTGGATTTGATTATCAGCTCTCAACGAAATCTTAGATTTATAAAAAGAACTAAGAAATGGATTTATATGAAAGTTACATGGTTCGGAAACAATTATTGAATTTTTTTCGAAGTCCCCAACCAAGCATACTATTGTACCTCTCTCGGCATGATTAATTTCAATAAATTTGCTTATCGAAAAATCAAAAATCCTTTCAATTCGAACCCATTTAGAGCCTCCATTCGAAATATTTAAAACCAATTCATTTACTCCTATTGTTCCATAGAGAACTCGTGTCACAAAGAGAAGATTATTTTTTTGATATTTCAGTGGTTGATTCAATAAGGCATATACTGTAATGGCTAGAAATTTTGGAGGTAGGTTATATTTAACTGTATAGAATGGTGTAGAATAACTGTTTTTGAACCCTACAGAATATTCATGAATGGAAGTTAAGTCATCATTCAATCTTATTCCAGCACAATTTTTAGAGGGTTTATGGTCCAAAGACATTTCTTTTTCCTTCATTGAATAAATTAATTTATCGGATTCACTCAGATATTCATCCTGCAAATAAAAGTTTTCGATAGAATCAAATATAGCATTGCAAAGTGGAAATACTGTACTCAAAATATGCTTCTTTGAAATAATCCTGATATTGTACTTTTTAACAATGGTTTCCGTATCGTTATTTGCTATTTTTTTATTCAATATTTCAAATGCCTTGATGGCAGTAGATAGAGAGTTTTTCCTGCCAACAGTAAATTGCTTGTAATTTGTTCCTGCACAAAATGTTGCACAGCAGACAATCACATTATTTTTTTCCCATGCAAATACATCTTCTCCAACCAAGTTGTTTATTTGATAAACTATTGATTGAATCTGAGCACAATCAAATGACTTGTCTATTTTGTTCAAAACAAGAATAGATCGTTTTCTATTTATAAATTTGACTAAACTGTAAGTCCTAGGTGTAATTCCCTCATTGACATCCACTAAAATCAAAAAGTTATCTGTAAGAACTGCTGACGAGTATATTAGTGATTCAAAGTCAACGTGACCAGGTGTATCCAAAATATAATGATTTCTAATTAGAACAGGAGTCAATTTCAGTGTGATTCCTCTTTGTTGCTCATCATTCCTTGAATCCAAATAGCGCATATCTCCAGCAAGTGATTTTGAAATAAATCCTGAGGATGCAATCAAACTGTCTATAAGGGTAGTTTTTCCATGATCAATATGCGCAATGACAGCAGTAATTCTGAATCTACTTGGCTTCACTACCATGGAAGTGTTAGAAATAGATTTTTTCTCTTGGCCAGATTCTACTTCTATGGATTCATAAGCATTATGTTCTGGATTATGACACTTTATATCATCTATACAAATTTCCGATTTAGTGCCAGTTCTAGTTTCAGTAGTTTCCTCAGCCATTAAGAGGATACATAATTTTTGTTTTATCTGGATTCATATGAGATGATTTGAATGTAAAATCCACTCCTTCTGAGGTAGTGTAGCAAAGTGGTTAACGCGGTAGATTGCTAATCTATTCTCCTTTGGAGGCATGGGTTCGAATCCCATCACTATCGTTTTGAAAAACTCAATTTTGATAATATAAAAGGTACATTTTTCTGATATTTATAGAGAAAAATAATTCTTTAAATACTCATTGACTTTGTATGTAAATGGTGTTTTTGATCTCGAAAATTTTTATTCATCAGAAAACATTTTTGAGTTTCCCATGAAAATTACAAAGAACAACTTAAATTGAAAATTCACTGCTTAAAATCAGTTTATTGCTTTAAAACTTTGTATAGCTCTAATTTTTCCTTAATAGTATTCTCAAAAGAATATTCGGCCGTGCAAACTAACTCACCATCATTGATATTACTCTCAAAGACCAAATCATTGTAGTATTGTGCTGCAATTCTTTGAAGTTCTGGATTGTTCAATTTTATCACAACATGATCTTCAATCTTTAGAGAATTGGTTTTCCTCAACTTTTGAACAAAAGAATTAAAATCACGAGCTAGTGTCATTTCACGGATGGTTTCATCTTCAGAAACATCCAAGATAAGACCAAAATTATCAAAAATACCAGAATTTGGGACATCAACAAATTTCTTCCCTAGAATGAAGTCCGAAATCGACAGCTTAGAAAGTTGATTGATGAGAGAGTAATCACCAGAAGCTACTTTTTTGATATCATCTTCATTTAGACTACCGATAAGTGATAGTTTTTCTTTCATAGATGCCTTGTTTTTGCTAAGGTTAGCAAAGCATGGTTTAATAGTAATGTCGTACGTATATGAAGAATCTGGCTTGAACAAAATATTTAGAACATTACATTCACTTTTAATTACCGAGGTAAAAGTTTCTAAAATTGCCATAATTCTATCGTTGCAAGTAATTATAACATTTTTTAGTGGTCTCTTCAACTTTAATGCATTAACTTCTCTAATTTGACGAATTCCTTCAATTACATTCTTGGCGTATTCAAATTCATTTTTAATAGCAGTACTCTCTTGAAGTAAACAATGATGAACAGAGCGCTCTTTACAGTCATCAGTTTTTTCAGAAATTGATTGGTAGCAATACTCAGAAAAGAATGGGGTGAATGCTCCCATCACAATGGAAAAGTCTTTGAGCAACTTTCCTAGTAGTTTCCCACCTAACTTCAATTCCTTCCTATTTATCCTAATATACCAATTGGACAAATCATCCAAAAATGACAATGCTGCAGGTAAAATGGCATTTAGACGATATATTTTCATAGCCTGATCAATTTTAAAATTAAGGTTTGAAAAGCTGTCTAGGATCCACTGATCCATAAATAAATCGTTTTCTTTGTTTTCACATTCCATAAAGAAAAGTAGAGAATTATACCAAGGAATTAGCAAAGACTTAAGAATATCTTTGACACCACTTTCATTAAATCTCAAATTATCAGCCTCTACAACCTGACTACTTATCAGATAGATTCTTAACGCATCAGCTCCGTATTTACCAAAAATAAGATCTGGAGAGGGATAGTTCTTCAATCTTTTTGACATCTTCTTACCATCTTCAGCCAAGACTATTCCATTTACTACAACATTTTTAAAGGCTGGTTCTCCAAATAAAAGCGTTGAAATAACATGAAGAGTATAAAACCAGCCTCTTGTTTGGTCAAGCCCTTCACCAATAAATTGAGCCGGGAAATTATCTCTCTGTAGAAACTCACCTTTTTTAATAGATTTAGAGATATTTTTCCTAAATGGCCAATGATCCTGGGAATACGGCATTGAACCACTTTCAAACCAGCAATCCAACACCTCATCAATTCTCCGATATGTTTTACCATCTTGTTTAATTAGTATTTGATCAATAAACTGCCTATGTAGATCACAAACATCTTTCTCACCACTTAGATTTTTTAACTCTTCTACACTTCCAATGCAAATCAAGTCATCATAATCCAGTTTGCCATCTTCATTAACACATGCCCAAATAGGAATGGGTGTACCCCAGAATCTATTTCTTGAAATAGCCCAATCCCTTGCATTTGCTAGCCAGTTATGAAATCTTTTGTATTTAATATCTGCAGGAATCCAATTTATTTTTTCGTTGTTTTTCAACAACTCTTCCCGACTCTCTTTAACTCTTACAAACCAGTTAGGAACCAATTTGTAAATAAGGGGAGTATCACTTCTCCAACAGAATGGATAGGAATGCACAATTCGACTATTTATTAGAATCTTGTCCTTAATATCCCGAAGAATAATCTTGTCCAAATCTTTAATGTATATATTTTTATAAGGCTCCATAGTAAAGAGTCCATTCTCATCAACAGGACATGGAATCACTTCATCCTTTGATACCAATCCCTGTTGTAAAAACACTTTATAATCTTCTTCACCAAAAGCAGGTGCACAATGTACGACAGCCGTTCCATTGCTATCAGAAACAAATTCTGCTGTTAAAACTCTAAAAAACCCTTTTGCTCTCTTTTCTTCAAACAAATCAAAGGGTTGTTTATATTGCATTCCCACTATATCGCTACCCTTAATATCTTTCAGAACCGTAAATTTTGTAAAATATGAACTTATACGATTGCAGTGCATTATAAATAGCCTACTAGAATTATCGTTAATATAAAACACAGAATACATGAAGTCTTGATTGACTATCAATCCACAATTGGATGGCAAAGTCCAAGGAGTTGTAGTCCATGCTACAAGTGAAACTGAATCAAAGGTAAGCTCACTGAAGATAGTATTGCCATCTAACATTAGAGGAAATGCAATAAGTACCGATGGATCAGAAACATCTTTGTAATTTTGGTTTGCTTCGAAATTGGAAAGTGGTGTTTTACATGCAGTACTAAATGGCATAATTTTAAATCCTCTATAGATTTTGTTCCTCTTAAATAATTGACTAAAAATGAACCAAGTTGATTCCATAAACTCAACATCCATTGTTTTGTAACCTCCAGCAAAGTTCACCCACCTGCCCATTCGTAAAACAGTCTCTTCCCATTCACCGGAATATTTCATAACAATTGACTTGCACTCTTCATTATATTTGCCAATACCCATGTCCAGAATTTGTTGTCTATCTGTGATTTGCAATTTTTTATCTATTTCATATTCTACAGGTAATCCATGGCAATCCCAACCAAACCGTCTTTCTACATGAAATCCTTTTTGATAGTAATATCGACCAACTGTATCCTTAATGGTTCCACTTAGAATATGTCCATAATGAGGTAATCCAGTGGCAAATGGTGGTCCATCGTAAAAAACATATTCTGGTCTGTTTTCACTCAGCTCATTTCCGCAGTTAAAAGCATCAGTTTCATTCCAAAAACTAATAATTTTCTTTTCTGCATCTGGAAAGTTAATATTCCTTTCAAACATATAGGGTAATTTTTTAAAAAAATGTAAAGGAAATAACTGCTAAATTTTGAAGTATAATCTTTTTGATATGATAAATATCCAACAACTCAATAATATTCTTTTAATTAATCAATGTATATAAAGAATAAGTATTTTATATGGCGTAAACTGATTGAGAACCAGTTTGATTGGTTAGAACTCTAAATTAAAAGAACCATGTTCCAGATTATTTTGGAATTATATCATCTCAGTATGCACTGGAAGTTCAATATATTAATGTTTTACGTATCACATAAGAAAATACATCTCAAGTCTTAGTATTCCCAAGTCAACAGGAATTCAAAATAAAAAACATAATCATTCTAATAAAAACTCCCACGGTGGGACTCGAACCCACAGCCTCTTGATTAGAAGTCAAGCGCGCTATCCATTGTGCCACGAGGGATATGGTGGTATTTCAATGTCTATAAATCTGAAATTGGTATGTCTATCTATTTTTTAAAATTTATTTTGAAATATAATAAATACTAGTTCCCATAGATAATTTATTTTGAGGCATTATTTTCTCAAATTAATGAAATCTGACAGGCGTTTTTCACAATCTGTTTTCTCTTTAAGTAAATACTGCTTTCGTAAATAATCTGTTTCTTTTTTTAGTTTTTCATCAATTTCCTCCTTTTTTCTTTTTAAGCTATCAATTGGATAACTATTGGTACAAATCTTGGCCTGGAACATTTCAACAAGGGCTTTTTGTCTTGATATTGTTTCACTTTTGACTTTATCTGCTAGCATCAACCTCTTAATTGTATTGTTAAATAAAACCAGGTCTTTTTGATATTTGACATTTTTCTCTGTCAATTTAGTAATCGATTGGGAAAAAGAAAGATTTTCATTTTGTAGTTGTTTTTGGGTCCTTCTCAGATCTGAGATTTGCTGATTCAACACCACAACTTCATTTGCTTCTGTGGCAGCCTTTAACTCCGTTATGTGTAGTTCATTTTGTTGGAGTCTTTCATTTAATTCAGAAATATTTCTATCTTTTTGTTCAAAAATATTTCTACATTCAGCAAGCAAATCATTTTCTAGCTGTGAATCAATCGGTTTGTGCTTTTCTAATTCTTTCAGCAATCCATCTTTTAAAGCCATGGTTTCTTTCATCATCGAATCCACATTTGCGGAGTATTCTTCGTGATGATTATGAATCATGTTTTTTAATCTTTCATTTTCCTCGAATAAATCTAAATTTTGCTCCAATGCTAATTTTAACATTTTAGAAATTTTATAAATATTTTGTGATATCAAATAAGATTCCTTTGTAAAGAATTTTGTAAATTCAGGCCATACTGAACTTATGAAGCCTATAAGTTGTTCTGGTTTTGAAACTTCAACATCTACGATTGATGACAAAAGACTCTTCACACCCTCAGTATCATTCATTATCAATCTTTTATAGCATCGCTCAAGCAATTGTCTTTCATATGATTTTTCCATAGTCAAACTGGCGACTTTTTGACTGATATCTTTGTAAAGTTCTACAACAGTATTCATATAAACATGAGATGAATCTATTTGTGCATCATCCTTTTCTTCTGATTGGGTAAATGAAAATTCCGGTAGTTCAAATAGTTTACCTTCCAATTGTTCATAAGATATCAATGTTTTTTGTAATTCTTCTGGAATATCCTCAAGAGAATCATCATGGTTTGGATCAATTATCTTTCCATCTTGATTTATCACAATTTCATTTTGAGTAAAATCTGCCAGTTGGGTTTCATTGGCTGAATCTTCACCAACGCCATTTTCAAATAATAATGGTTGAGAAAATACAGACATGTCTTCTTGTACAGAGGTATTGGAATTATCAATGTGATTGCCTAGTTTTAAAAACACATTCGTAGTCTTAAGTCTTTCTAAGCTATTGTTAGTTTCTGCTGGCATTACGGTGAAATAAAAATAAAAAATAAATAGTGCTATTAATTTGTTTGGTTAAAGTTAAATAGACAACTTATCTAGGCTCTCTTGTATGAAAAAAACTACGCACTTAACACCAGCTCTTATAGTCTACGTATTATAACATTAATTCAATTGATCATATGAGTATTGGATATCATGCAGGATAATAAGAGTAAATGGCGACTAAGTATTGTACAGCCGATAGGACTTCTGTTGTAAACCAAGTGGAGAGATTCTACAATAATTTTCTACTGTTGCACTGCCCCTAAATGTGTCAAAAGGAACTATTGATGGAAATGTTTTCACACTTGACTAAAGAACAAGTGGATTATCTTGTTTCTCTCAATGAAGACATAAATATCACAATAACTAGAATTCTCGATAATAACATCGAACCGTTGAAACTAAACATTAAAGATTTAGCGTTTAATCATGCTAGTCTAGTAAAATTGAAGAAAGATTATCATTATCCGGAGATATTCCATGATTATTATGAAACTGTTGATGTCATACTAACCAGGCAAATGTCTGGCCTAATTTTCAAGCAAATATCCTCTTTACGACAAAAGGCTCTGATCAACAGAAAATATTCTGAAGTATATAATAGTGAGGCAGATAGACTTAAGGAAAGTGCTGATCTGCTTGGCAGAAAAGCAGTGATAACTATTATGAGAACCTCAATGGAATCAGCAGGACCATTGGATGTTCATGGTCTTTATGTTAAAGAATGCTTAATGTTTTTAGAAGATCTGTACTCGAGTAAAAAGTTTACAACTATAGAAATAGCCACTGGACAACCATTCAATAGTTCTAAACTTCGACCAAATGTTAAAAAATGGCTTGAAATGCATGGATTTATTGCTATAGATGAAGGGCCAATTGTCCGAGGTATGCAAATTGATTAATATTCTGGATATGAAACAGATGTAAACATGTTTACCAGACATCATATCCTTAACTGTTGAAAATTCTATATTTCTTTATGTAAACATAAAAATAATGAGATTTGATAGGTCAATAGTACGATAATTTATCTTTCATATGACAAACGAACCAAATCCATCGATTTATTTCCATAGCATTAATTAAAATCAAGTAGTTCTGAAAGTGTAGTATCTCTTTGAACGGCAGTCGATGATCCATGTGAATGTTTATATCCAAATACTTTTTTGGTTATTTCTTTAAAATGTTTTACATTGCTAATTTCGAGATCCAACTTGTTTAAGCTTGTAATTTTGTATTTTTTAAAAATTTCTTGGAGATGAATAACTGACTTCATTGATTGGGTATTCCTTATGCATTTGTCCATAAAAAATACTGGGGAATCATGCTTGACTGAAGGTTTAATTTCTTGGATCTCAGATTTTATATATATAAACTCCCCATTATATTCATTAATAGTTGCTAGGGACAAGAATGTGTAATCTGGATGTATTACATCTGAATCTGAAATCCCAGAAAGCATCTTTGTAAGTAGTGTAAGATCTCTTACGTTTTCCAAAGCTGAGCTCATGCAGAGTTCGGACATTTTATTCGAAAAGACACTTTCCAACTCCTTCATTCTCAACCTTTTCTTGAAAAAATTTTGACATCTAGTAAATATATTTCCTTGAACTATATTTTTACACAGTTCTATTCCATTAGAATTTGACTCAACAATAAGTTGTAGATTGTTTATTGTAGAACGAATGTCCCTGTCACATTGAGAAGCAATTCGGATGATAGCTTTTGAATCAAGGTTCTTATTTTCCGATTTTAATATTTTATTTGCAATTTGTAGCATATTTTCAAGAGTTGGCTTGAATATTTTCAGAGTTTCTATATCTTTGAAATACATTTCTGTTGAGGTAATTATCACAGGTATAGAAGACTTTTTAAGAGTTTTAATAATTCCACTATTTTTCAAAATAACCGATTCGTCTACAATTAACAAGTTTGGTTTATTCCCAATAGTACCCGTTGGGTTTCGAGTATAATCGTTAATATTAGATATCATGTCACTGTCAATTTCTAAAGGATTATAGTTTTGAGAAGTTGCTGTTATTTTCGCTAAGAGAGTCTTACCACTTCCCGGTTGTCCACTTATATGTAAAATGTTGCCTGATGTCCTATACTTTATCCAATTTAAGCATTTGAAATGGACATCGCTCGAAAAAACAAGTTCTGTGAATCTTGTTGGACGATGCTTTATAAACCATGGAATATTGTTCATGAAAGGGAAAAAATTCAAAAAGTATTTTGATTTATTGCTGTTGGTTTTTGAAGAAATGTAGAGTCTTAATAAAAAAGTAACCAATGGTCATATCTTATGGTGTTAAAATCTTTGATTAATTAATAAGTCCTCTATTAGTTAAAATTTCTAATAAGCTTTTGCCAGACTCAAGTAACATCTGGAGTTTTAAACAATAAGCTGCTAAAGTTCTAAATAATGAGATTTGTACTTACCCTTGAATTTTTTATTAACACATCTTAAAGTGTATAAAAAAATATTTAATTTTTACATTTTTTTAGAAATTAATATTTTTCAGATTTTTAATCCGTCAAATTTCATGAAAATCGTAGAAATTGCTGCACAGTTTGTCAAAGAAACCAACAAACTTATTTTAGATCACTCAAAAGGCGATGTTGTTTCACAAGTTGAAATAAGATCTCTAAAAGATCGAATT